TCCCACCTCAGAAGGAGCGCGGCCCCGCCCACCGCCTGCTGCTCACCTCCGGGCGCGGCCCTGTCTCCAGCTACTTGGAAGCCAGGGCGCGCCTCGGAGTCCTGTCACCGCCTGTCTCGTGGTCTCTGGGTCAAAGGGGACTGAGGACATTCCTCCAAGACTGGTGGCCCGGCCGCGAGAAAGACATGCCGTCACGAAATTTAGGTCTGGGCCCCCAGGAGAACTAAGCAGTCAGGAGAGGGAGCCCTAGAGAGCAGTAGGAGGAGGGAGGACTTCGGAAACCCGGCATCTTCATGCTGATGACTCAGGGATATGAAGGACCAGATGCTTCGCAGATCAGCAGCCCGGAGAGAAAGGGTTTCTGCGGAGAAATAACGGAAAAAAACTGCTCACAGATGGGAATACGAAGCAAAGAATCTCCCTAATAATAACTACCGTTTATTCGGCACTCATTGTGTGCCATGTCCTATGTTAAGTGTTTGATAGTCATTATTTTAGATAAACCTCATAAGAACCTTATAAAATCAGTACTGCCGCTTGTCATTTTAACAGAGAAGGAAATTAAAGTCTGAGAGATGGCATCGTCTGCCCAGGTCATTACAATTGGTAGAGTCAGGATTGAGATCTAGCCAGGCCGACTTCAGGGATCACGTGAATCATTATTCTTCATTTTCTTCACATAGGAGCAGTCTTGAGGAAGCTAAATGGTCTTTTGTGACCAAGATGGATTGGGTGGATGTGGAAGGAACACTTTCTCAATGATTAAAGGAAGGTCTGGAGAGCCTACTGGGTGACTTCCACTCATTCCTTGGCGTTGACCTTGGTGGTGCTTCGTGTCGCCTATTTCCAGAAACAATCCCATCTAAAGCTAGAATTCATCCCTATTGCTTCCTTTTCCTGTTGGACAGACAACGCATTTTTTACTTGGATCATGCCTTTCTTCTTTTCATCTCGGTGAGATGGAAATTTCAGGCCATCAAGAGGCTGAAATGGGTCAAATAGTTTCTCACGGTTTTTATTGCTTATTAAATTCAGAGCCTAAACAATATTCAAGTTTTAACATCGTTACCCTTAGACTGAAGGCCAGAATCTGAAAAGCTCCTGGGCCTCAGGGCTGGCATTGTTCACTTGTTGACTGGAAAGGAGACAGACAGTTGAGGGGTTCCCACATCAATCTTAGAGCTAAATTTCTGCAGTTGACCATGGTACCATTCCAACAAGGAAATGTTCTAACACTCTTTATTATGACCTCCCACCTTGAGCTGGAATTGTGGGCCGAAGGTGAGATCCAATTGCCATCCCCTTTTGTCTTATTTGAATCACAGAAGGACAAATTTCTCCCTAATCTGTCCGGAGACACATCAGGAATAAACAGGGCCAGGCTCTGTGACTCATGCCTGTAATCTCAGCACTTTGGGAGGCTGAGGCAGGAGGATTGCTTGAGCCCAGGAGTTCAAGACCAGCTTGAGCAATGTAGCAAGTAAAAAGTTTCCTCCTCAAAGTTTCCCTTATTGTTAAAGAATAAATAGTAAGTGTTTGAAATAATAGTTTCTTTTAAAGACTAACTTCCTTCAAGCCACCTTACTTCATGCTAATAACTCTTTGTTTAGCCCTTTCCTATGTAGCTGTTAGATCTAAGGGAATGAGTACATTCTATGTCCGTGTACTTTAACCAATATGTATATGCTGGACGTGCTCACAGGCATGTCCCAGCTTGCAGCCTATGCCCCCTCCTTATTTGGGAAGGTTACTACTTTTCTAAGCCTTTTCATAAATAATTTTCTCTTTTCCTTTGTTCTCCATTGCTTTTACCTATTTAGAAAAGTTTTAAGTTGTTAGCCTATCAGGTTCAGTTTAAATTGTAAGGTCTGGCTGCAGCCAATGGAGAGAAGACACAGTAACAGGGTCAAACTGTGTAAGGGATAAAAATTGCTTCCTTCCTTTATTCAGGTGTGCTCTCACCATTGTTCCATCTGTGAGGAGCACCCTTTCTGCAGAAAGTAAAATTGTCTTGCTGAGAAAAATTTTGTCTAAATGCTGATTTTTCCATGCAGTACGGAGGAACAAGCATTCTGTTTCTAAATAAACTTTTTTTTTTTTTTTTTTTGAGATGGAGTCTCGCTCTGTCGCCCAGGCTGGAGTGCAGTGGCTGGAGTACAGTGGCCGGATCTCAGCTCACTGCAAGCTCTGTCTCCCGAGTTCACGCCATTCTCCTGCCTCAGCCTCCTGAGTAGCTGGGACTACAGGCGCCCACCACCTCGCCCGGCTAGTTTTTTTGTATTTTTTTAGTAGAGACGGGGTTTCACCATGTTAGCCAGGATGGTCTCGATCTCCTGACCTCATGATCCACCCGTCTCGGCCTCCCAAAGTGCTGGGATTCTAAATAAACATTTTACTTATAACAGGCAACATGGCAAGATCCTGTCTCTCCACTGGCTGGGTGGCTCATGCCTATAATCCCAGCACTTTGGGAGGCCAAAGTGGGAGGATCGTGTAAGCCCAGGAGTTTGAGACCAGCCTGGACAACATGGCCAAAACCCCATCTCTACAAAAAATACAAAAAAAATTAGCCAGGCCTGGTGGTGTGTGCCTATAGTTCCAGCTACTCAGGAGGCTGAGATGGGAGGATCGGTTGAGCCTGGGAGATCAAGGGTGCAGTGAGCCCTGATCACACTATTGCACTCCAGCCTGGGTGACAGAGCAATAACTTGTCAAAAAAAAAAAAAAAAAAAAAAGCAATGTTTCAGTTCTTTTTCCTTAATGCAGACATGCAACCTATCTTTCAAAAAATGACTTTGTTTGCCTTCTTGAGCCCAACGGTCCTGATCTACTCCACTTATCTGTTACTGTGAAAATGAACTGTTACAATACTAACTCCAACTTCTGAGTTTCCTCCCTAACAATGTTCCATTACTGAACCTTACTAGGAAATGATCACTTCTGACAGTAGGTTTGGCTCTAAGTACTGTCTTTCTGGGAGAACCAGACCAACTTTGCAGAACTATTTAAAATAGTGGTTCTTAAACTTTTTGGTCTCAGAATCTCATTACACTCTTGGGCCAGGTGCGGTGGCTCATGCTTGTAATCCCAGCACTTTGGGAAGCTGAGGCGGGCAGATCACTTGAGATAAGGAGTTCAAGACCAGCCTGGCCAACATGGCAAAACCCCGTCTCTACTACAAATACAAAAATTAGCTGGGCATGGTGGCATGTGCCTGTAGTCCCAGCTACTCGGGAGGCTGAGGCGGAAGAATCGTTTGAACCTGGGAGGCGGAGGTTGAAGTGAGCCAAGGTCATGACACTGCACTCCAGCCTGGGTGACAGAGTGAGACTCCATCTCCAAAAAATTTTTTTTAATAATTCATTTTAAATATTTATAATAAACCTATTATATGTAACTATAATGAATTTTTATGAACAGTAACTATATGGTCCTAAATGTAAAAAAAACTAGTGAGAAGAATGGCATTATTCTTCATTTTTGTAAAGCTCTATAATGTGTGGCTTAACAGTAGAAAAGTGAATTCTTATATTTGGATATATCTATAATGTATGATATTTTGAAATATATGAAGAAAATTTGGACTCACAAAGATATGTGGTTGGGAAAAGGAGGAATATTTTAGTAGCCTTTTCATATCATTTTGGATATTTTTGTTTGATATTACACCAAAGCTTGACAAGTTATACTTTCCCCTTTCCCTCCCTTCCTTCCTTTCTCTCTCTCTCTCTCTCTCTTTCTTTCTTTCTGACAGAGTCTTACTCTGTTGTGCAGGCAGGAGTGACTGCAGTGGCGTGATCTTGGCTCACTGCAACCTCCACCTCCCAGGTTCAAGTGATTCTCCTGCCTCAGCCTCCTGAGTAGCTGGGACTACAGGCATACGCCCCCACACTTGGCTAATTTTTGTATTTTTACAAAATTAGGGGTTTCACTATGTTGGCCAGGCTGGTCTTGAACTCCTGACCTCAGGTAGTCCACTCACCTCAGCC